GCGACGACTACCACTACAACGGGGAGGCCGACCGAGAGGGCTACAACAACGGCGGGCCGGGCTCGGTCGGCCGCATCCGTCTCGACTACGAAACATTCACCCATGGAACCGCGGCGCCCGCCTATTACCAAGGCGAACTTGGTGATTTGAGCAACTTCTGCACGCCATCGCCACAGTCACCGCCGTCCTCGCCGTCGCCGCCGGCGCAACCGCCGCTCTCTCCGCCGCCCCTGTTGCCGCCGCTCTCTCCGCCGCCCTCTCCGCCTCCGCCATCATCTCCGCCACTGCCGCCATCAGCCCCCTACCATGCGGCCACGTGCCCTGATTTGCATCAGACAAGCAATACGGGCGGATGGATGCATTACTGCGTCATCGACGCCGCCGACGGTTGGCAAGCTCTTGAGCTCTCCTTTCGCTGGCGAGACCAGGGATGGGGCATTTCTTTATGGGGTACAGGCTTGCGGATCTCAATCGCGAGACCTCCAAGCGGAGCAAAGCCTGTCTTTGTGGTCGGTTCTGCTCCTCGACAGACCCTTTCTGTCATTTTGCGTGTGAACCTACTTGACATCCAGATTTCGGGAAGCACAGCCGGGTCTTCGGCACGCCCTATTTCGGAGTATCAACGAGTCGGGACGTGGACATCGGGCATCCAAGCTGGCGACCAGATCATCATCGAGGCCAAATGCTGCGATTATCCGGGGCATGCAATGCACGTCGAATCGCTCCGGGTAACCCTCCAACAGCAGTTGGCCTTGCCACCGTCGCCCCCCGGGTCACCACCGGCTCCACCGCCGAGCCCGCACCACCCCCCTCTTCCGCCCGCCTCCCCACCAGCTCCTTCTCTTCCACTTGCTCTGAACCTCCCCGAACAACCCTCGATAAGCCTTCGTCGATTCCCACTGCCGGTTGCCTACGCGCCTGTTCCAGACTGCTCCGCGCCGGACCGAGTGGTGTGCACTGGGATTCCGAGCAATGTTCTGCCTCCGCCAGCTGCCTGGAACGGAAGCCTCTTCTTTGATGGCGCCATCTCAGACTATCTGCAGGATACGGCCTTGCCTGGGGAAAGCGGTGACACTCGCTCTACCTCTGTTGCCGACGTCGACGGCGACGGTTATATGGACATAGTTGTCGGCAATGACGGACAAGAGAACCAGATCCTTTTCGGCACTCCGGATACGAGAACGTTCTTCGCCGTCATTCTTCCTGGAGGATTCAGGATGACTCGGTCAACCTCCGTGGCGGACGTCGACTCGGACGGGTTCATGGACGTCGTTGTCGCAAATTTCGGATACGAGAATCAGATTCTGTTTGGAAGCGCAGATGGGAGGACCTTCTCCGAGTTCACCCTCCCCGGAGGAAGCAGCAATAGCTTCTCCACTTCCATTGCAGACTTCAACTCCGATGGGTTCATCGACATCGTGGTTGGCAATCACCAAGTTGAGAACCAGATCCTTCTTGGGAGTGCGGACGGGAGATCCTTCTCGGCCTCCACTCTTCCTGGAGGAAGCTGGGCGACCACCTCCACCTCTGCTGCGGATGTCGACTTGGACGGCTTTATGGACGTGGCGATCGGTAACGCTTTTTCTGAAAACTATGTCCTGTTCGGGAGTGCGTGGGGATTTACTCCCGCTACCCTGCCAGGAGGAAGGAGGAATTCTTACTCGATCTTGGTCATGGACATCGATGCGGATGGATTCGCCGACATTGTTGTCGGCAATGACCAGGGCCAGGACGACGTCGCTTCGAAGAACCAAATCCTCTTTGGGAGTGCGAATGGCAGAGTGTTCTCAGCTGTGGACCTCCCGGGGGGAAGCATGAACACTCGCTCCACCTCTGTTGCGGACATCGACGGCGATGGGAGCTTGGAGATCGTCTTCGGCAATCACGGACAGCAGAACCAGGTACTTTTCTGGTCGACGGACACGAGAACGTTCTCCGCGGCCATTCTCCCTGGAGGAAATCGAGATTCCCATTCCACATCTGTTGCAGATGTCGACGGGGATGGTTTCATGGATATTGTGGTCGGCAATGTGGGTCCTGACCATGCGGCAGTCGAACTCGAAGTCGACCATAAAAACCAGATTCTGTTCGGGATTGCGCCGCGTGGAGGCTTCTCAGACGTTTTGGACCTCCCAGGGAATAGGCACACTAGTGGACCCACTAGATCCATCTCGGTGGCGGACGTCGACGGGGACGGGTTCGTGGACATCGTGCTCGGCAACAGCCGAGAGATCCAGGTCCTCTTTGGGAGCGCGGACGGGAGGACCTTCTCCGAGGTCGCCCTCACCGGAGGGAGCAGGAACATTTTCTCCACCTCTGTCGCGGACGTCGACGGGGACGGGTTCATGGACATCGTGGTCGGCAACGGCGGCCAAGAGAACCAGATCTTCTTTGGGAGCGCGGACGGGAGGAGCTTCTCCGAGGCCACCCTCCCTGGAGGGAGCAGGCACACTTGGTCCACCTCGGTGGCGGACGTCGACGGGGACGGGTTCGTGGACATCGTGCTCGGCAACAGCCAAGAGACCCAGGTCCTCTTTGGGAGCGCAGACGGGAGGACCTTCTCCGACGTCACCCTCCCAGGGCGCAGGAGCACTTCCTCAACCTCCGTGGCGGACGTCGACGGGGACGGGTACATGGACATCGTGGTCGGCAACTCCGGCGAGAACCAGATCCTCTTTGGGAGCGCGGGCGGGAGGACATTCTCCGAGGTTGCCCTCCCTGGCCAGGGAGGGCACACTCAGTCCACCTCGGTGGCGGACGTCGACGGGGATGGGTGGATGGACATCGTGCTCGGCAACACCTTGGCAGAGAACCAGATCCTCTTTGGGAGCGCGGACGGGAGGACCTTCTCCGAGGTCGCCCTCCCCGGAGGGAGCAGGAACACTTTCTCCACCGCTGTTGCGGACGTTGACGGGGACGGGTTCGTGGACATCGTGCTCGGCGAGTACAACGCAGAGAACCAGATCCTGTTTGGGAGCGGGGGCGGGAGGACCTTCTCCGTGGCCCCCCTGCCTGGAGGCGCTAGATCCTCTCTTTCCATCCTCATAGCAGACGTCATGAACATGGACGGGAGGTTGGATATCGTGATTGGCAACGGCGGAAAGGAAGCCAACCAAATCATATCGTGGAGAGCATGCCTGAGTGGAGGCGCACAGCTCCACGGCAAGAGCTGGTGCTTCAAGTGCCCTTCCTTCATGGGACTCACGGGCACCTCCTGCGTCGAGTGCCTCCCCGACTTTCTACAGCAGCCCGGTGCCGGAGAGCTCTGCGCGACAGACCCCTGTCCACTCGGCGAGCGCCCGCTCGGCAGCGACGCGTGCACTCCTTGCAAGAACAGGCCGGGCGTCTTCTACAACACCAGCGCCGCAGCGGCGCGCACAGAGAGCGACCCCACCACCTGGATCCAGCCCAGCTGCGTCGAGTGCCCCACAGGCAGCTTTGCGGACGCCGTCGCCGTCGACGAGTGCTTTGCTTGCCCTGCGGGCGAGTACCAGAACCTCACCGGCCAGGCCGCGTGCACGCAGTGCCCTGCTGGCCAGTTCCAGGCTGAGCGCGGCCAGACGTCATGCGACTCGTGTGCCACGGGCGGATACTGCGACGCCGCTGCGACGTGCGGCGGCGGCTTCACGCCGTGTCCAGCAGGTACCTATAACGAGGGGCAGAGCAGCAGCTCATCCGATGACTGTCAGCAATGCCCCCCCGGCACCTCTAGCCCGACCACCGGCGCAAATAGCAGCGAGACATGCTCTAGCTGCCGGGCTGGAACATACGGCGACGCCAAAGGGCAAAGTGAGTGCAAGGACTGTCCTGCGGGCCGTTACCAGAACGACACGGGCGCGACGTCCTGCCGCGACTGCGAGCAGGGCAGCTACTGCGCCAAGGGCGCGGCGGCGCCGCTGCCTTGCGGCGCGGGAACCTACTCGGACAAGTTGAACCTCGACTCGGCGGGCGGCTGCGAGGGCTGCCCAGAGGGCCACTTCTGCACCACCGGCAGCGTGGTCCCCGTGGCGTGCCGCTCCGGCACGTTCGCTTCCGGCTCGCACAACGCCGAGTGCGAGCCGTGCAAGGCGGGATCCTACCAGAACGCCACCGGCGCTGCCGGCTGCATCCGGTGCGGGCTTGGCAGCTTCTGCCCGGTCGGCGCGTCCCTCGAGCTGCCTGCGGCGTGCGAGCCGGGTACATACGCCAACGTCACTGACGGCGACGGTTTGCCCGACTGCTTCGACTGCCCGGCGGGATCGTCGTGCGGCGGCGGCGCGGCGCCGCCGGCAGAGTGCTCGCCGGGCTCCGTTGCCGCCACGCCCGGCCTCTCCAAGTGCGAGCGCTGCTCCGCCGGATCCTACCAGAACGACACGGGCGCGACCTCCTGCCGCGACTGCCGGCAGGGCCACTACTGCGCCAAGGGCGCGGCGGCGGCGCTGCCGTGCGAGGCTGGCAGCTACTCGCGCGCCACCAACCTCTCCGACGCGAGCGAGTGCACCGACGCCTCGCCGGGCTACTTCGCCACCACCGGCTCCACCGAGCAGACGCCGTGCTCGCCGGGCACCTTCACCGCCCTCGCCGGACAGAGCATCTGCGAGAGGTGCCCTCGCGGCACGTCCTCCGGCGCCGGCAGCTCTTCCTGCGACGACTGCGCTGCCGACACTTACGCCGCCAACGTGGGTCAGGGCGAGTGCATCCCCTGCCCCTACCCTCTTGCTAGCGGCACCGGCAGCGTCACCTGCTCCGTCTGCAAGGCGGAATTCTACCTGAAGGCGAGCGTCGATCCAGATGACGTCTTCAAATCCCCAACCAAGTACTGCGTCCCGTGCCCGTCGGACGCCGCGTGCCCGGTCGGCACCACCCTCGAGACCCTCGTCCTCCCGCCCGGCTTCTGGCGCGCCAGCCCCTCCTCCGCCGTGTTGACAGAGTGCCGCCTCTTTGGCGGCAATGCCGAGGCCGGCGAGACGCGGTGCGCCGGCAGCGAGCCGGTGGCGAGAAAGGCCTCTCGCCGCCGGAGGATGGTGGAGGCGGGCTCGGACGCGTACTGCGCTTCGGACTTCAAAGGGCCCGAGTGCCGGCTCTGCGCTGCGCCAGACCACCACCTCGTCGACGGTGACACCTGCGAAGTATGCGCTCCGCGCGCCGCCGCTGTGGGCCGCATCGTAGGCCTCGTCCTCGGCCTCTGCGTCGCGTGCGGCTTGGCGGCTTGGGCCTACCACATGCCGTGGCGGAAGAAGCGCATCATCGGCTGTCTCCTCCGCTTTGCAGACCGCTCCGTCAAGTACTACGTCGGGGTCGGAATGACGGCCAAGGTCAAAATCCTGTTCGGCTTTTACCAGATCAGCACCGTATTGTCCTCCACCTACTCCGCGCGGCTGCCAAACAAGTACACGGGCTGGACGGACAACTTGGCCAACGTGATCTCCGTCGACTGGTCTGGCTTTTTCCTGCCGGAGCAGTGCCTCGGCTACGCTCTGCGGCTCCTCGCCATCGCCCTCTCCCCCGTCGCCCTCATCGCCCTGCTAATGGTTGCGGGAATAAGTCTGCGGCTCCACGGCTGGCGTGCTGCCCCGCCGCCGCGCGAGAGAGCGTGGTACGCGGAGGCGGCCCTCGGCCTCCTCGACTTCACGCCGGCGGGCCTGGTGCTCATTTTCTGCTTCGTGCCCACCATCAGCGCCTCCATCTTCCGCTCCTGGTCGTGCCAGGCGCCGCCCCTCACAGCTGACTGCCGTTGCTCACAACCCCACCCCTCAGTCCTCGCGATGTTCTGCTGATAGGCCTACACCATCTCTCCGCCAAACGAGCCCCTGCGGCAGGTCTCCTACATGCGGCAGGACGCGAGCGTCGAGTGCGGCTCCGACGATCACGGACCCATCACCGGCCTCGCCATCGGCTTCATCGCCCTCTGGCCCGCCGGCTCGCTGGTCCTCTTCACGTCGCTCCTCGCCGCCTGCTACAAGCCGCTGCAGGCCAAGACGCCGAATGCTCTGACGCGGGCCACCGCCTTCCTCCACCGGGAGTACGAACAAAATTGGTACTGGTGGGAGGCGGTCGAGCTGGCGCGCAAGCTCGTGCTGACCGGTTTCGTGCTTCTGATACCGGAGGAGCGAGCCTTTGTTCGCCTGGTGGTGGCGACCCTAGTCTGCTCATGCTACGCCGTCGCGCTCGCCGTCGTGCGGCCGTACAAGCGGGTCGAGGACAACGTCATCGCCGTCGCCACGAGCCTCGTGCTCCTCCTGCTCTTCCTCGGCACCAACTGGAGCACCATCTTCCTCGGCATCGAGGAGCGCTCCGGGATCGATGATGCCAATGCAGTCCTCGGCTTCCGCAGCCTCAATGTGATTGTCGACTCGATGATCATCCTCGTTGCAGTCGTGCTTGCCTTCTTCCTCGTCGGCGCCATCGTCGCCGCCCGACGCGTCGCCAAGGTCCCCACGATCCGCCTCGTCTCGACCAAGCAGCCCCCCGAGATGAGCATCGGGACTGGCCTCACGTGGCACCTCTTCAACAGCCACATCTGGTGAGTCATAGCTATGGAGGGAGAAGAGGAACAGCAACCCGCCACAACATACCCGGCGGATTCCGATAGGTCGACCGGTCAAGACGCCGTAAAGGTCATCAAGGGTGAGCTCGAGCAGCTGCTGCCGGACATCAAGATTTTTCTCGACGCGCGCACACGCTCAGCAGCGCTGCTTTAGCTACCACAGCCCCTCTGACGCTCCGCGGTGGTGTGCTCTCACAGGTAGATGACCTGAAGGATATCGGGGCGCTTGAGGAGTACATCCAACGCTCGCAAGCCATCCTCTTCTTCCTCTCGCAGGGCTACTTCCGCTCCAAGGCGCGCCTCTCCTTCCCACCCCGCCTCTACCGCCCTCTGGCCGTACCTCCCGCCTCTCCTGCGCCTCAGAACTGCCTTCGAGAGATTCGCTCGTCGCTCGAGAAGGACAAGCCGCTCGTCCTCGTCCAAGAAGCGGACCCTGCAAAGGGCGGCGGGACGCTGCAGGCGCTGCGCGACGAGTGCCCCGAGGACCTGCAGCCGGCCATCTTTGACGAGGACTGGCCGCTCACGATCTGGTATCGCATCGAGGAGTTTCAGCTCGTCTCCCTCAAGATCATCGCCGAGGCGCCGCCGGCCACAGCCAGCCGCTACGCAGTCCTCTCCGTCTCCCGACCGACCCCACTGGAACCACAGGCGGTGCTCCTCTGTTCGCCCAACTTTCTGGACAAGACCTCCCTCCCGCTCTGCGTGTCGGGCGAGCTCGAGAGCGAGTCGCTCGCCTTTTCCAAACCGTGCACGCTCTGGGCCTCGCCTGCCAACGCGGGCGCTCTGGAGCTGGCCACCGAGATCGCCACCGCCGTTGCCGGTCTCACGATCTCCACCGCCGATGCTCGGCCGGCCACCGCGACGCACATGCTGCTCTACCTCAACGAGGAGAGCTTCGTCAGCGACGAGGAGCGGCTGGCCGAGCAGGTCAAGCAGGCGCGCCAGGACAGGCTGAAGATCGTCATGGCGCACGAGAACGACCCCGCGCTCGGCGGCTGCCAGTTCTCGAGGTTTTTCGAAACCACGCCGCAGGAGCGAATGTCTCACAGTGGCGCCCGTCCCGAGCCTCCCCTCCCCCTACAACCCTCTCCTCCCAACGCCGCAGGAGCTCATCGCTGGCGGACTCTACACGGACCTGGCAAAATCGTGCTTCCCCGGCCGCCACCGCAAGGCGCGCGCCCTCTCTCTCTCACAGCGAGCTCTCCCCCGCATCGAGTGTTTCGTGACGAGGGGCGTCCCTGTCCGCAGGTGTCGCTCGTGCTTCTGGCAAAGAGCCTAGGGGCTACCCCCGCTCGCACGGACCTCCGCGTTTCGGGCAGCATCGCCGAAGCGGGGGACCTCATTTCCGGTGGCATTGGCGAGGGCAGCACCAGCCTCGCGAAGCGCAGCCTTGGCGGCCTCAGCCGGGTGTTCGCCAAGATGAGCAGCCGCAGCTCTGCGGAGGCGCGCGAGGTCTTTGAAGGCGAGGCGTCGTCGGTGCAGCACCAGGTCTGATCGTAGCCAGTGGGGGAAGGGGGCACGAGTGCCTAGAAGTTACAACGTTTGACATATAAAACAAACCACAGAGGCTCGATAGAGAGAACAGTGCGCGACACCACTCCCAGACGAGAGACACTTCTCGTCCACACACCACTCTCTCCCGCAGAGCGGAGATTGCACGCGCACTCGCACAGCGGTCCAGCGCGGGCAGCGCCGTCACACAGGGGGTCACAGCGCCTCGCCCTCGGCGCGCCCTCTCGGCCTCGCTAGCGCTCTAGATCTCACAGGAACGCACACGGTGCACACACGCGGAGAACTTTTTCTCAAAATACCGCCCCAGAGTCAGAGAGGGCGCGTGAGAGACGAAAGGTCTCGATCGAAATTAGTGGTTGTGCGTTAGTGCGTGCGAACGCGCGCGACGACTGACTAGAGAGGACGAATATCCGGTCTAGGCGCTAGAGCCCGCATTGGCCACTAGGACTGCTCGATGTCGTAATGTATGTCGATCGGGACACAGGACATGTTGAGTCAACCACCCTTCGCCAGAGAGAGCCCGCCGGAAAATCCTTCATTCAGGGCAGCGCCTTAACTGCATGCTTCTTGACGATCGGCGGCTCCACAAATGTTGTGGCGCTTGGCAGAGGCTTGCTCTTGGACGGTGCAGGTGCCCACCTATAGCGCAAGGCTGCATTTCTGCGGCACGTGGTGGCTGCGCGAGGCCTTGCGTGTGATCTGACACGAGAGAGGAGGCGCACGCATCTACGATTCATCGCTTGTCGTTGATCTTCTTTGCGAGCAGCCGCATTAGCTCCAACATGGCACGCTCCGAGGTAGCGGCCGCCTGTCCGGTCGGGAATCATTCCCAGCTAAGCTCGCTGCTCACAGCCAGGCAAAGTTTGTGTTGGGGCAATGAGGCGGAGGTGCGGGCAATCGCGCCTGCTCTGTGACAAAGCTGAGCCACTCCTCGCGGCTGACCATTCCGTCGCCGTTGGTATCGAGCACGTGCAATATGACCTACCCACAGCTGCCCATCCTCGACCGACTGATGGTGCGCGCGGTGTCTGGCATGGGCTGGAGGCCACGCCTTGTCAGCAAACGCAGGCGTCAGCGGGTGCTTGAGCAGCTCGGGCTCCATCCGCAGGATGGCCCTTCGCATGTCGCTGAGCTCGGAAGTGTCTAGCGTCCCATTTGTGTCACGGTCCGCCACGGTGAAGACGTTCTGCGCCTGCGAGGGGCACACGAGGCGTGGAACGGACGAAACGCGGCGTCACAAAGGCGTCTCGAGGTGATCGCGCCTCTGCCATCAGGCTCTTGCTCTTGAGCCTGCTCGGCGGACTGTCTGGGTGAGGCAGCTTTCGGGTGCTCGCCGAGCGGCTCACCGTCAGGGGCGTAACGCCCGCGCCGCCCTTCTGGGAGGGCGCGGACAGCGTCGACTTTGGCTCTCTGCGTGCGCCGCCCGCCTACGTCGCATGAGCACAGGGTATACACCCTGCGTCGATCGCTGCGGGTCTGATTTTGGGTTGCGACACACGGGGTGGGAGACGACGGAGAGCAGTTTGCTCGTGCTCCGCGCGTGCAAGTTGCGCGAGCGGCCGAGGCCGTGCGCCCCTGAGCCGGATCCCAGCCACGGAGTCAGCGCGGGCGACGACTGCGAGCGCAGCATATTCAATCGAAAATTCGTTTCGGGACGCTTCTACGAGTAAAATTCGAGTTTCTTTTTGGAACAATCCCCTTTCGCGTAGGCACCTCCCGTGGTGAACCGCGTAATCTCAAACCGATCGCGGGCCGAAGAGAGAGGCGCCCGTGGGGACCCCACAATTCCCTTCCCCTCTCGGAGGGCCGGACTGAGGCGTCAAGGGCCCCGCTCTTTCTTCGTATTGTGGCCACTTCGGTGTTCGGATCGCGGCGTTACAAATCGGTTTCCTTCGTTACTCTCGGATCAGAGATAAGAAATTGGACTCCCGCCTTCCACTGGCAGGCACCAACTATCGCTCGGCTCGAACACAGAATGATGTCGCTTGCCGAGCCCGCCGCCCCATCTCCCATGTCCCCTCCGGTCGCCGCCCGCCTCGCCAGCCGCGAGCACGCCGCCCGTGGCGAGGCGCTGCGAGCCAAGATCGAGAGCCTGCATGGCCAAGCCGCAGAGCGCGCCGAGGCGCTCAAGGCCTCGGTGGTCGCCAAGGCGCGCACGCGGAACGGAGTGACGCTGGAGAAGGCGGCGCTCACGCGGCAGACGATCCACGCGGCCGCGATGGAGAAGACGGCAGCACGCTCTGTGCGAGCGGACCGAGCCGCCTGCCAACGCGAGGAGGCGCTCGAGGCGAAGGCGGCCAAGGCCCGGGCTTCCCAGGCCAAGGCCGCCGAGGCGGCGCGCCGCGCCACATCCCTGCGTGGAGGCGCCGGTCCCGAGCGCGACGACGCCGACCTCGCTCGCGCAGTGAGCCCCGACAGCGTGCTCCACTCGCCAAAGACGAAGCTCGACATTGACCGCTTTGTGGCTCGCCACCTCCTCGCGGACATCGACGTCAGCCCGCGCGGCGACGACGCCGGCGGCTCGCCCGACGGCCGCAGCCCGGCTTCCTCCGCCGCGAGCAGCAGCGGCACCATCGTCTACGGAGACTCTGACAGCGGCACAGCGCCCGCGACCCCCAGTGACGCAGGTGCCGCTCTCGCGCCGGAGCCGCCCGAGGAGCAGGCGCAGCCGGAGGAGCAGGCGCAGCCTGTGGAGAAGGCGCAGCCGGTGGAACAGGCGCAGCCGGTGGAGCAGGCGCAGCCGGTGGAACAGGCGCAGCCGGTGGAACAGGCGCAGCCGGTGGAACAGGCGCAGACCGTGGAGCAGGCGCAGCATCAAGGCTCCGACGGCGAGGATCCCGAGGGAGAGGTTGTGACCGACGACTCCCTGCCGGACCTCGAGGAAGAGACTCCGTCGCCGACGCCTCCGAGTCTGCGGGCTCGTCGAAGCTCGTGCACCGACGCCGCCTCGGCGCAGACGTCTCCGGGGGACGCCTCGGACACGTACGAGCCCTACGAGCCGCCGCCGCGGTACTCTGAGCCGGCAGCGGCGCCGGCGGCTGTCCCCGTCCCGCACCCAGCGCCACGGCTTCGCTCGGGCGCTGCCGCCGCTCTGGCCGCTGCGGCTGCGACCGGCGTGGTCGCCGCCTTTGCCCTGTCCGAGGGCGGCAGGCTTGCGCCCCCCTTGCAGCGCCCCGCACGGGCCCGCGCCTGCGTTGGCTCCCTCCTCCCTCCCACCGGCGGCCTGGTCTCCCTCTCGCCACATCCCTGCACGCGAGCGCACACGAACGCACATGTACATGTGCGCGACGAGCACGCGCACAACCACAGCACGCCAGGGGGGGGGGGGGGGGAGAAGTGCTGCCTTGCATGTGCTGCATGTGCGCCTTCGCGAGCAGCTCCTCCGGTGACACTCTCCCCCAGCGGGACGGCCCCTCCCTCTCGCGCAGGACCTCGCTCAAGCTGGCCTCGCTGGAGTCGCTGGAGTCGCTGCAGTCGCTGGCCTCGGTGCCGTGGCTGGCCGACGCGCCGCCTGAGCCCGCGGCAGCGCCCGAGCCCGAGGGCGTTCAGGCGGCCGTCCTGGCGCTGCTGGGCATCGACGGCGACGGCGACGGTGCGCGGGCGGAGAGCTGGGGTGGTGGTGAGGGCGGGGTGGGGGGGTCCCAGCGGGCTGCCGGTGTGCTCGAAAGGAGGGGGGGGGGGGGGGGGGTCCCCCCGAGGATGGCATATTGGTACCTCGGCCCGGGCGGCGTCCCCGGCGCGGGCGGCGCGGGCGGCGTTTTTTGCAAACAACCCCTCTTCAGCGAGTGGCGGCAGTGACAGTGCGGACGGCGGTGCACCATCCGCAGCAGATATGGGCCAAACCCTTACCTTGCCCACCCGGGGGCCCACCCGGGGGGTCCACGCCCCCCAGGCGCACTCGCCGCCTCGGAGGCGACGGGCCGCCGCCTCGCCGTCTTCGCGGCCGCTGCCCTCGAGCGGCTGTCGGCCACGCTCCCGCTCCGCTCGTGCGCCTGAGCCGCCTCGGAGAGAGCAAGGTCTCCGATGTGCGCCTCTCCAGCGACCTCGTGTCGCCTCTGGCTCACGCCCCCCGCACTGTACGCTCTCGCTCTCGCGGCCCTCGCTCGCCCCCCCCCTGCCCCCCCTTGGACAAGTCGAGAGGATTCCCTCAGCCGGGCGCCACAAACCCGCGAGCGCGGGGGACCACCTCGGTCGGAACGCATCGCGCGAGAGCCGAGAGTCCCGAAGCGACTCTTTGCGAGCACGCGCTTCTCTGCGTGGGACGTCGAACGGCCTCCCGCCTCCTGTCGCGCGCTCTCTCTCTTCACTCTTGGTGCTTCCGCTCTGAAGCCGGGCTGTACGTTCCGCTCTCTGTCTACTGTCTCTCCCTGTACACAGTCGTGTTGTTATACGGCGCGGCGCTCTTTTCTGGGTTCTGTGCGCGCATCACACACGACACGGCACACACAGACTCAGACGACACACACCGCGACGCGCGGCGCGGACCTACAGACGGAGACGCCCGGGCTGCCCCCGGCCCCGGCCCGCGGCGCTGCCAGATCTAATCACAGGCAGATCTCCAGCAGCGGCCAGCGCGAGCGGGAGCAGGGAGAGGCTGAGGCAGTGACGAGATTCGAGACACGAGAGATACGAACGACATCGAGAGTACGACATAGCCCCTGAAGCCTGATTGCACATTGCTGAGATATTACGGTACTACGTTGATCGTTGTCGGTTGTCGCGTGTTGTTTGGAGAGTTGCGCACGCACGGTCGACCCGCCGCGCGCCGCGGTGTGCTAGGAAACTGCTAGCTAGAGCTGTTTAACATTAACTTTGGGCCTAACAGTTGCGCCTATAGTGTGTTGGCTGAAATCCTTGACGGTGTTCAAGTGTTCACCCCAGCCCATGCTGTTACTGTTTGTTACTGTTGTTACTGTTGTTCAGCGGCCAGCAAGCAGAAAATGGCAAAACCCCCGGGTAAAACCCGAAAATACCTGGGTTTTCCGGGTATTTTCGGGTATTACCCGCACTGGACGCTGGAGATCGTCGTGGGTCACTGCCAGGCCTTCCTTGTTGTTGTTCAGCCGGCCTAACGTTAGCTACTGTTGTTGGGGAGCCCCACTGTTGTTCTGTTGTTACTGTTAACACTAGCAACAGCCAACACGTGTTCAGCTCCCAACGTCAAACAGCTCTACTGCTAGCTGCTGGTCCCCGGTACGCGGTAGGTACGTCTACGTGCCCTAGGCTGCTACGGCTCTAGGCAGAGCGGCTGTCTGAGTTTTGGCTTCCTCCTCGTTCTCGGCTTCTGGGGAGTGTGCTGGCTCACACTGGGCAAATCGGCCGATTTCCCTCCCGCTAAATCATCACGGCCCCGCGCGCCTCTCATGGGGCCTTCCCGGGGGGCGTCGGCAGCACCGCCGTTCCGCGCGGATGTTGCAAACGGTGGCTCGGGACGCCTATCTCGGCAGCCCCGGGGCGGGAGCCGAGGAGGGGCAGCCGTTGCGGTGGCGCCATTGCGCTCGGCGGCGCGTGGGGAGCCGAGCGGCTCCCAGCGATCCCGCGAGAGATTCAGAGAAGGGCCCGCAAGCCGCATCCGTCACGGATGCCGCGCCCACGCTGCCCGACGCAAGCGCCAGATGGGGGAGGAGGTTGGCAGCCTTTCGCTTCGAGGTTGGCACCTCGCAAGAGAACTCTTGCGCGATTTAGCGGGATGGCGAAACGGGGGCGATAGCGGCCGCCCAATGTCGGTGCTGGTGCGCTGCGGCGGCGGTGCCTCGAGGGCGGTGCGCACACTCGCACACACCCGCGGCTTTTAGACTTTTGTGTGCACACACATGGCGGATGGCGCTGGTCGTGGCGGTCTCATCAACGTTCGCTCGTCTAGAGAGACGAACGAGAGACCTCAAAAACAACAGTCAACTCAGAACGAGTACAGAACTGACAGAAGGGAACAACACCACGCAGCTCACCATGCGAACGTGCGGGCGGCGCCTTGACGGACAGCGGTTCAGCTCTTGCGTGCGGGGCGCGACACTTCACGAGCGCGCCTCATTCTCGCCGCCCACCTGGCTGCGAACGCGCCCACGCAGGCGGGCGCGCTACGCGCACACCCACTGGCCGGTCTTGGAAAGCACGCACTCGCCGCCCTCGGAAAGGCGGCCGCAGATCTCGTGCTGCTCGTGAATCAGACATCCCTCATCGTCGCCGTAGTGGAGCGCGGCGTTCGAGGCGGCGCCCACAAACACCACGCCCGCGACGAGACCGATTGCTGCGGCGCCAAGGTCCGGGTGCAGCACGACATCGCCGTGTGCCTGCAGCGTGGAAGCACGCTATGAACGTGGGCTGAGGGCGTGACTGCGGATAGAATGCCGCGGTCGCCATGTGAGGTTGGCATCTAGACGGCGCCTTGGACGCCATCGTCGCCTGGTGCACGACGTCAGCGAAGGCGGGCGCTGCTACGAGCGGAGAGAGCGCGAGCGCCGACGCGGCAGCGGCGGGTGTCGGAATGCTTGGGATGCGAAGCGCCGACGTCGTTGCGACGCCCAGGAGGAAGATGGCGAGCTGGGGCATCATATCTCGCTGGGTTGATTGATGACAGATCGGTGAGCTGACAGGGCAAAAGAAAAGAGTGAGCTAGACGGAGAAAAGTTTGTTTTAATCCGCGCTGCCGCCTCCTCAAAACGAGCTCTCGCGTCCTCACTCAACTCTTCTATGAGTGACAGCATCGCCGACGAGGCGATTGGCCAGGCCTGCACGCTCCTCACCGCCGCGCTGCACTGCCGCCGTCAATCCGCGGAGCTCAAAAAGTGCCTCGCGGCCAGCGGCTCTGCAGGATGCGCTCACGCTCAGCAGGCTTTCGCCACCTGCTCGCATGAGCACGCCTCCGAGGTAATCTCGAGCCTGGTCTCTGTGGCCAGCGCGCACTGCAAGGCCGAGGTGGCGGCATTCGCCGCTTGCAAGCGTGGTGGCAGCCGGGCGTGCGAGGAGGAGGATCTCGCAGCGTTGCGCTGTGCAAGCCTGCAGGTGTTGCGGAGCGCGACCAGTGCTCTCCGCCTGCGGGCGCTCTTGAGCCAGTCTGCTCTCGAGAGCGAGTCGTACCCCAGATGAGGCGTCTCGCCGTCGCGTTGTCGTCTGTTCGCAACGCGGGCTGCTGTGGTTCTTTTTCATTCTCCTCACACTCCTGACAACTCGGACACCCGCTGAGAGAGTAACATGTACTGAGTGTACGGCTCTACTGAGAGATCGTCGATCTGAATGTACGCGGATATCACCATAACCCATGTACCATGACATGTGTATGTGCATGCGACTGATACAAGCATGACGGTGCCCTTCGGCCTTCGCGGTCTCCCGCTGTCGGAGACCACGGGTTGTTGCACGAGTATATGGGACAAAAGCGTCGAAAATGTCCCAAAAAAGCGTGTCTCGAGTTTGTGGCAGCTCCGCAGCCTGCGCGCGCTGCCAGGACGCACCGCTCGCGCGTTCGGCACACTCAGTGGACCCCACCGAGTGTGCCGAACCAACTGGAGTGAGTAGGCTCGACGCCGTACTCGAGATGGAGCTGCCACAAACTCGCCGCCGAGCGTGCCACCGACGGCGTCCCGGCGGCGGTGATGGAGTGTGAGACCTGAGGCTGCGGAGGTGACGCCTGAGGTACCGGCCCGTGCACAGCGACTCAGCCGGCGACCGCCACGGGCTCAGACGAGACTTGTCGACTCGTTACGGCTCAGCTTCACCGTGGTCCTCGGGCGTCTGTCGACGTCAGGACCACCCATACAGCTCGCGGGTTTGAGGTCGCAAGAGCCAAGATGGTGGCGTTTGGACATCCCAACCATCACACAAGACAGCCTGTAGGTGATGGCGGGACGGCGCAGTGTTTGTGGCACTCGGCAGTAGGCACCCGCGGCACGGCCCCGCTGTCGGCTCTCGCGGGCTGCGGAACCGGACCCAGAAAGGGACGGTCCGGGCGAGTGTGGCAGCTCCTGCGCTAGTATGGGCACCCTCTATTATAGCACTACTGATCCTGGTCATTAGAGCTGCCAGGGATAGCGTCAGGAGCTGGTAGGAGCTAAAACCCCTCATATTTGAGACATCGTGTCCCATATACTCGTGCAACAACCCCCACACATGTTCGAAGCTCTTCCACCGCAACAGCACGACCAACTCATGCCGCAATCTCGGGCACACACACACACACGCACTCGTCTCTCCGTAGGCGAGTGCAGCCAGAGCTCTCACACCATGAGCGCGGGGGCAGCCGCGGGATCTCCCGCGTTCGCCGCGCCGCGACGCCGGCGGAGGGCAATGCCCACAGCCACAGCGGCGAGCGCCGCCGCCACCACGCCCGCCGCCGCGGCCGGCTGCGCGCGGCTGGGCGTGGCGGTGGCGGCGGCGGCGAGCTTGAGCGACGCCTCCGACGCGACGCTCGCCGCAGCCTCGCTCTCCATCTGCTTGGCGGCCTGCTGCTCGGCGTACTTTGCGGCGACGAACGAGGCGGCGGAGGCGGAGGCGTCGCCGACGGTGGCATTCTCCGAGAACTGGATGGAGGCGAACTTGTCCGCGGTGGCTTTGGAGGACGCCTGGTACGCCTGCCCCTCCTTTTGGAAGTCGAAGCTCGGGTCCGTGAAGAAGCGGAAGCCGGTGTCGAGCCCCTGCGCGGGCCGAGGCGCCGACGTTGAGGCGCCGACGCGTCGTGGGCGTGTCGCAAGAACGTGTGGCGGGCGTGTCCCCGGGGGGGTCACGTTGCGGGTCGTGGACGTGTCGTGGGCGCGTCGTGGGCGTGTCGGGGGTATGTCGTGTGGTACGCCTGCGCGGCGAACCCCGCGCCCGTCTCGGCGCCCGTCTGCGCAAACGGCATCCAGCCAACCTTCTCCGCCGGCGCCTCAGCGGCGGGCGCCTCAGACGCGGCGCCTTCTTCGATGCGCCAGCTGTTTGTGGTGGAGGAGAGGCCAGCCGCGGCGTTGGTCGCCGCGGCGACCGCGTTCGCCTTGCCCGCCGCGGAGATGTCGGAGACCATCGCCACGGCAGAGTCGACGGCAACGGCCGCCTGAGGGAGGGAGGCGGAGTGAGGGAGGCGGAGGGAGGGAGGCGGAGGGAGGGAGGCGGAGGGAGGGAGGGTGCGAGGGTGCGCACATGCATCGCTCGCACAGGCCTCGTCGGGTACTCTCGACTCTCTCCCGTCTACACTCGCCTTGTCATCGAACGACTCTGCAGCCTTGGCGCGCTCTGCAATCTCCGCCTTGTCCTTGACGACGCCGGAGGAGATGGCCTGGAGGGCATACGCATTCACCACGGAGAGCACGTCGTTCGCCTCGCCCAGCAAGGCGCCCGCGCCGTCCATGCCTCCTCCCGCCTGCTCGTACGCCGCCTTCAGCCGCTTGATCGCGGCGTCCTGCGCGTCCGTCGTGAGAGAGAGCGTGGTCGCGACGCCCTGCGTGGCGGCCGCGGTCTGGGAACCCGCCTTGCTTTGCGCGTCGGCGGCCGCCGCGTCGGTGGCTGCGGCGGTCGAGGCGGGCGTCGCATCTGCGGCCTCTGCTGCCGCCTGCGCCTCCACCAGGCTCACCTGCCCGCCCTCGGTCTCGAGCCAGGCGGCAAAGTCGGCAAGCGCCTTGGTCATCGCCGTCGTGGTGTGCACGGAGGCCTTGTTCGACGCGGCCCAGAAGTGTGCCGCCGCCTCCTTGAACTTGCCCTCCGAGAGATCGGCCGTCACGAGTTTGTTGGCGCTGTTCGACGCGGCAGAGTCGGCCCGCTCCTGAGACGCGACCGCGGCCGCGGCCGTCTCGGCGGCGCCGGCTGCCGCCACGGAGGCAAGGGCGGAGGCGAGTGCCACGCGAGCGAGAGCGGACAACGCCATATGTGTGTGTGTGTGTGTGTGTGTGTGTGTGTTATGTGGTGGCGAGTGCGGTGCAGAAGGGAGTGAACGAAACGGAAAAGAAGAAAAACTTCCAGGTGGAATGGTCAGCTGTGGGCGACGGCTAGCGCATCACACTCCTCTCCTTAAAATCCCTGTGTGGTGGCGGCGTGCCGTCCTCCCATCCCTCCCTTGGGTTGTCTGTTTTCTTTCTTTCTTTCTGGGTCGCTGGAGATGACTGCTCTATTTATTTATTTATTCGTGGGTCGCTTATTCATTCGACCGCTTTCATAGCCGCGGCACGCCGCCAACACACACAGGGATTTTAAGGAGAGGTGTGTGATGCGCTAGCCGTCGCCCACCCTAGGGAATCCGCGTCTTCGTTTTCTTTTTGTCAAAATGCTCTGCCACCTCGCGGGGCTCGCACTCGTGCCTCCGCGCGCGCCGACGCTCGCGCCGCGGCGAGGCTGGCAGCGGTCGGCTGTCGCGTCCTCCGTGAGGCCGCCGCCGCTGCCCGACGACCGGCCGGGGCTGCCGCCGCCGACCGAGGAGGGCGGCGTGCTCGCGCAGATCCTTCCCATCTCGCTGCTGCTCGAGTCGCAAGAGGCGGACCGCGCTGGCGACCTGGCGGTGGGAGAGGACGCCGGAGCCTTTGCGTGGCGGAACGAGCGGTGGGGCCAGGTGATCGAGGACGGCGGCGAGGTTGGGCGCGACTGGCTCACCTTTTTCGCGGCGGTCGGCACAATCATGTCGGCGCTGGTCGTGCTGTGGATCTACTCGCCGACGGGGTACGGCGACGACTTTCTGGCGGCGCTCGAGGCAGCGTGTGGCGGCAACTCCCACCTCGTCACTCTCGCCTTCGGGATCCTCTTCCCCCTCGTCCACTCTGGCCTCGCCGGCCTCCGCCCGTACGCGTCGCGGGTCACGGGCGAGCGGCTGTGGCGAGTCCTCTTTGCGTCGTGCTCGCTGCCGCTCGCCTACTCGTGGATCGTCTACTTCATCTCGCACGCGCACGACGGCGTCGTCTGGTGGAACGGAGAGGCGTCTCCCGTTGCGCACGCCGTCGCCTGGTGCGCTCCCTAGAGACATCCGAGATGGGAGAGGCATCCGAGATACAGCCCGCCACCTTCGGACAGAGGCATCCGAGATACAGCCCGCCACCAGCGGACTGCGCGGCGGCTTCGGCTTGAAGCGGCGTTGGCCACAGGCACGCCTTCTCTCTCATGTCTCGGATGCAGCCCATAGCTCGGATGCAGCTCGCAGCTCATGCCTCGGACGTCTCTCTCGTCAGGTGCGCGTCCTTCTCCTCCTTCTTCCTCCTCTACCCGTCAGTCTTCAACCTCAAGGAGGTTGCCGCGGTCGAGAAGCCGCGCCTCCACCTCTGGGAGACCGGAGTCATTCGGATCACCCGCCACCCGCAGATGGTCGGGCAGCTGCTGTGGTCCGCCGCCCACTTGTCGATGGTCGGCTCATCCTTCACCGCCCTTACCATGGCCCTCCTCGTCGGGCGCCGCGCCCTCGCCGCGCTCTGGGCGGCGGCCGGCGGCGCCACCCCCACAGATCGCGCGCCTTGGCGCTGCCCCCCCCTTGTAGGCACCACCTCTTTGCGGTGTGGCACGGCGACCGGCGGCTGGAGGCGGAGCACGGGGACGCGTTCCGCGCCGTCAAGGAGCGCACCTCCGTCTGGCCCTTCCTCGCCATCCTGGACGGCAGGCAGACCCTCCCGCCCGACTACTACAAGGAGCTCGTGCGCGCGCCCTATGTGCTGATTGCCGCCGGCACCCTCGCCGCCTACAAGGCCCACCCGTACATGCAGGCCGGCGCCGCCCTCGTGCGGAACACCGGTCTCGTCCCGGGCGGTGTCCTCGATGGCCTGCTGGGCGAGTGAGCGTTTGCCGATCGACTGCGCGAGGTGGGTCCAGAAGATGCGAGAACCGAGCTAATCTCTTTTCTTTCGCCATCTGTATCTTGACACGACATGCCGCGGTGTGCATGCGGCTTTTGCGGGTCTCGGGTGACGCGGGTCCTCACTCAAGTGTGGGACATATTCATGTTACCCCTTGTAATTTTCTTATTTTCTAGATACTTCGATTGATTTCAAACTCATCAAAATCGTGTCGGTCAAAGGAGAGAATCCAATTCCCTGCGCCACGGAGTGCGGTGACGACTGACGTGTCCTCGTGTGTGCCTGGTGCGTGCGTGCGCGGAAATTTTGGTGAGACGTCTCTGTCTCACGGGTGTTTCGTCCCTGTCTCACTTGCATGATTTTTTCCGTCTCTCTGCGTCTCTCCAAGCGTCTCTCTGCTGTCACAGTGCTGAGTGTCAGTGTCGCCGGTGCATCTCAGATGCGTCTCAGATGCGTCTCACATTCGTCTCTTTCGGCCGCGTATCACTCAGTCTCACGGCTGGGCTGAGACGTCACAATTCCTGAGCGAAGTGAGTCGTCTCACTTCCGTCTGAGACAGTGCTGAGCCACAATGGGACGTGGCGCAGGGCGGGGTTTGCGACGCCACAAGCCGCTGCTTGACTGAGTCGTCTCAGGTCCGTAGAGACCATGCTGGGCCAACCTGAGACGTAATTGTGAGACAGTGGCGATTGGGGAGACTCAACTCAGGCTGTTTCTGAGGTGCGGCCTGTGGCGGGTCTCGGTGAGTGTAGACGAACCCCAAGCATAATCGCGCTCTCTGGCTCAAACGGCGCGTAGCCGCCGGTTGCTCTATCGCGCTCTCAGACGCAAACGGCGGGCGTAGCCGGTTGCTCTCGCGGGCAGGGCGGTTCGGGTTAGTGGGTTAGTGCCCAGCACTACGCTCTCGCCCTCTGTTCGTCGCGGCTACGCCCTCGGTTTGATGAGCACTTTGCACCGACCGCTCCGAGGTGAGGCGTGTCGGACGATCCCAACTAATCGCGCTCATATCGCGCTCCCTGGCCCAAACGGCGCGTAGCCGGTTGCTCTCGTGGGCAGGGCGGTTTGGGCTAGTGCCCAGCACTACGCTCTCGCCCTCTGTTCGTCGCGTTCTTCACGCCGCCGCCCACGCCACCGCCCACGCGCCGGCGGCGGCGGCGCCGTCATCCACGCCGCCGCCCGCGCCGTTGCATCTGCCGCCGCCCCCGCCGCCGCCCCCGCCGCCGCCGCCGCCACTGCCGCCCTCGCCGCCCTCGCCCACCCCATTGCGCCACGCTGCTTCCCTCGCCACGTCGTTGCCCACGCCGCCGCCCCCTCAGCCCTTACAGCCGTCGCCGGGCGTTACCCACGCCGCCGCCCCACTCACCGCCACCGCCCTTGCCGTTGCCACACCTGGCCCACATACCGCCGGCGCCCTTGATTAGGCACCGCCGCCACCCTCGCCACCGTTGCCCACAACCGGTCCCACGCCACCGCCCACGCGCCACGCCGCCGCCGACACCGCCGCCGGCGCCGCCTGTGCCAACGCCACCGCTGCCCTCCCCACACGAGCACCCACCTCGCCGGCTCGCCGCCACCCATGCTGTCGCCGCCCTCACCCCTCTGCCGACCGCGCTACAACTGGCTAGCAAAGACGACGCAGCCTATAGTCTCGACTCTCCCGCCAATGTCTCACGATTGCGTCTCAGGTTGGCTCATGGCATGGTAAGATGGTATCTGACAACGGCAGCGGCTTGTGGCGTCTCACACCCGTTCTGCGCCGTGTCTCATCACGCCGTGGCTCAGCACAGTCTCAGAAGCAAGTGAGACGAGTCGCGCTCCTTGGCGCAGCAACTATGCCGTTGTGAGACCGAGTGAGACGAGGATTGCCGCTTGTTCACCGTGAGACGAGTGTGAGACGCTCTGAGATGAAATGACGAGACGTAGTAGAGACGACAGTGTCACACCGCAGAGGTGAACATTTGTCTCACTGGTGTCTCAAACAGTCTCACCTGTTCGCCCTGCGTGCGCCCTTGGTATTGCTCCTCTCTCCGCCACCCTTGGTCTCCAGCACACGGCCGCCACCGTCCCGGCAGGACGCTCCTCGTCTACTACCCGCTCTGCCACTGGGTGTGGGGCGGCGGCTGGCTGGCCCGGCTCGGCGTGTGCGACTTTGCGGGCGGCATCGTCATCCACACCTCCGCCGGAGTCGCCTCGCTCGTGACGGCGCTTCGGCTCGGACCGCGCGTGGGCTTTGCCGGCCTTGCCTCCCACTCGCTCGCTCCTCACAATTTGCCGATGGCCGCCACGGGCGCCGGGCTGCTGTGGGTTGGCTGGTTCGCCTTCAACGGGGGCAGCGCGCTCGCGGTGGGCAGCCTCGCGGCGAGCGCACTGCTGTCCACGCACGTCGCCGGCGCCGGCGGCGCGCTGGTGTGGCTCGCCCTCGATTGGGGCCACGCAGGCCGCCCGACCTTTGTCGGCTGCATCAACGGCGCCCTCTCTCGTAAGCTCGCCGGCGTGACGCCCGCTTCGGGCTACGTGACGCCCTCGGCGGGGCTCGTGGTCGGGCTGGTCTGCGGCGCCGCCTCGTATGGCGGTGTGCTGCTCTTCAAGGCGCCCATTGCTGCCTCCCTCTCCACACAGCACAGCTGCTCCCCTCTCCACCAGCTCCCTCTCCATGCCTCCCCTCTCTCCTCCCTCAGGAGTATCTCCGCATTGACGATGCGCTCGACGTCACCTCGATCCACGGCGTGACGGGCGTGGTGGGCTCGCTGCTCCTTGGAGTGTACGCCTCGAGCGAGGTCGACCCCCTCTCCTCACACACGGATCACTCGCGGGCGCCTTCACTTGGTAGGATGCGGCCGAGTCGAGCCCACACTCCCGACTTATCCCTTGCCTCAGGTCAATCCGGCTGGCCCGGACGGCTCGCTCGACCAACTAAGGCTGCAGGCGCTCGGCGTGGCGGTGGCTATTGCGTGGTCAGGCGCGGGCACGTGGCTCGTGATGGCCGCCATCGAGCGCACGCTCGGCAGCGCGCGCACAACCGAGGCGCAGAGCCAAAGTACCCCCCCCCCCCCCCCAGCACTCGCTGCCCCCAAAGCCCTCTCGTTGCTAGGCTGAGGAGCTGGACGGGCTCGACCGCTCGCAGCACGCAGAGAGTTCGTACCTCGACCTCGCCGCCTTTGTCAAGCACGCAACGCCCACCACCGACGAGCTGTTTGAAGGGGCCGATCTTGCGCTGGGCGAGGTCTCGCCCGCGAAGCGGAGGAGCGGCCAGAGCCTCTCGGTGCGCCTGGCCGTAGAGATCGCCGAGGCGGCGATGGTGTGACTCGCGTTCGGTGCTCGGGGGCACGCGCAGTATCCGACTCACAAGAAGCGCGGAGAGGCCTGTATCTGCTGTGTGCGCCTGTGCGCTGTGGTGTGTTCTCTATGTGTACAGTCGACGGAGGTGGTGAAACTCTCGCTCCTGAACAAGAAAAACGTGTTCCTCGACAGTTACTTTCCGCTGCCAAGACGTCAATCTCCCTGTGCCGGGTCGAGAACCGTTGCTTAGAGAGAACGTGTGGACACAAATACCTACATGGTTGGGTTCAGTCTTCAGTCCTGTGCACTGTGGTCTGCTGCACGTCGGCGTTTTCATCTTTACCTCCCCAGAGGGGGAGATCTTTCCCCACTCAGCTCGGGAACGACGGCTCGACCTCCACCACGTCGAACTCGACGTCGTCGCGCACAAGCCGGTGGGTGACGCCGGTGGGGTGCAGGTACGTGAGGGGAGGATATAGGCACTCCTGCTCGTGCGGAAACGCGGAGAAGTCGCTGATGTCCACGCCCATGTTCATAAATGTGCTGCTCTTGATGCGGAAGAGCAAGGCCTTCTCGCCCGCGGCGCACGCGTAGCGAGCCGCGACCTCCAGCCGAAAGGTCGTGCTGCAGCAGGCAAACTCAGTCCCGCCGAGCGCGAGAAAGCGAGGCGAACAAATCATGTCCCCCATCCCGCGCCAGAGGATACGCCCCTCCTCTGGCTTCGCCGGCCGCTCACAGCCGAATGCCCTGGCCACCGCTTGCAGCGCAGACAGCGGCGCGCTGCCTCTCCCAGCACCTGTGCGCTCCCCGTGCCCCTCGCCCACGCTCTGGTCGACTGAGCCAAGGTACGAGCTCTTGCTGACACCAGTCGCCCGCCCCTCCTCCAAACCGGAGCCCTCCTCTTGGCTCTCCTCGTCACCTCCCTCCTCGTCTCGCCGCGCCTGCCGCGACGCCTGCCGCAGCGTCTCCAGGCTGAGCTCGCCAGCCACCGCCAATTCCTCCATCTTCTTGCACTCGGGGTCGACCGTCGTCGCTGCGGCGACGGCGCGCATCCGCTTCAACGCCTCGTAGATGAAGGCCATCGTCACGGGCTGCGGGTGGGGCGCCGCCAGCTGCGGGGGCTCGAGCGGGAGGGGGTTGCCCGCCTCGTCCTTGCGGCAGGGGCTGAGCTTCAGGTTGCGCATCGGGCCGTTGAGAGCGCGAAACGCGGCGGTCGAATACAGACGCAAAGCGACGACGTGCGCTTCCTCAAGCCGCGCCCTGCGAGCCACCGGCAGCGCGACAAAGTCGGCGAGCCGCATGCCCCTACGGCTGCGGAGGCTGGAGCCGTCCGGGGCTCGGTCGCGCCGCCAGCCGTTGTGGAATTGCGCGTTACTGAGCCGGCCGGCGCGTCGAGGATGTAGCGCAGGTTCTCGAGCACCTCCGGGTCGCCCAGCGCCTCGGCCTCCGCGACGATGGCGGCAGTGCCCGCAGCCATGCGCTCTCGCAGGTACGCCTCCTCGTAGCCGATGATCCCGTAGAGCCCCGTTGCCGCCTCCTCGGGCTGGCCGGTGACGAGCTCCTTAGCCGAGCCTGCAAATCTGTCGGAGACTCGCTCTGAAGCGCCAGCCAGCAGCTCGTCGACGCTCGTTGCGCCGCAGCGCGCGAACGCTGCGAGGTAGCGGCCGCCGGGGACGGCCTTGCACCCCGCGCTTTTGAAGCAGCAGCGCCCCCGAGACGCAGGCAAGAAGCAGGCTGGCGCAGCCCTGGCCGAAGAGCATCCAAGCGAAGATTGGCGCGTTTTCCGGCCGAATCGCGTGCAGGTACGCGCTACAGACCTTGCCGTGAAATGGATAATAGACGTTCTTGCCGCCCAGACGAAACGATTCGTACTCGTCTCTCTGACCGATGAGCTGGTGGCACTCGCTGACGAAGACCTTATGCCAAACGATAATTTCTCCCACCGGGTTCAGGTCTTTTTCTTCCCCACTGTAGGTCAGACTCCAGCTCGCAAGGAGCCAGGCGCAGTAGATGACACCACTCGCGCAGCCCAAGAGAAGCCAGAATCCCCGCGACGCTCTCGACTTGACCCACACCGCACAGGCGACGTCCTGCTGAGAGAGAGGGAGGGCGACCGGGAGGACAGCCAAGGCGGGCAGCCAGGGCAGAAGAGGGACGGCCAAGAGGAGCAGAGTACGCGCAAGCCACCTCGTCTGGCGAACGGCCTTGCCCGCCTCCGCTCCGTGGAAGCGGTTTCGGTTCTTGTCCACCTCGATCGCGTCCAAGGCGCGTTCCAGCTCCTGCAGCACCGCTGCACGTCTGTGGCCCAATGCTGCTCTACAGACAACGACCGCAGGCAAGAGCACTGCCGCCCAGATCGGCAGCAGCCAAAGCACCAGCCACACGAAATCGGATGTTCGCCAACGGGGCGATGTGAGTCTCCAATCCGCATCCAACACCCGGACCGCGGCGACAGTACTGAGCTGGCGCTTCTCGTTGGGCAGGTCGCAGCCCGTGCTTGAGGTCACGCGTACGAAGGGGGGGAATGTTGCCAAAAGGTCACCAGCGATCGTGCTTCGGATGGCTGCAGCATCGATCTCGCCATGTTTGCTGTACCTCTCCCTGGCCAGGACGATGCACATGGAGAGAACCTCCTTGACTTGCTGTGGCAGCGGTGCGGCCGGTGGCAGAGACGGAGGCGCTGGCGGAAACGGAGGCGCTGGCGGCAAGGCCGGCGGCTCGGGCTGCGCCGGTGGCGGAGACGGAAAAAAGAAAGCAATCACCGGGCCGGCGATAACGGCAATCGGCAGAGCGAGCAGCATGTCCTGCCGAAGGAGGCGGGACCCTTTGGCAGTCTCGGCTATTTTTTCTTTTTTCCCGCTTCTGTCGCGCGCAACGCAGGAAGTCCGTCCCGCGCCGGATGTAGAGCTCTACCTCACCGGCGCGACGCTCTCCTGCAGCGCCTGCGCGCAGAGCAGCTCGAGGCGCGGCACCTGGTACATCTGCGCCAGCTCCATCCACGTGCTCGATGCGCTCCCGGTCGTCGCCGACCAGGAAGGTGACTTTCCCCTCTGGGAGGGTGGCGTCGCCCCACGTCTTTGCGAGGTCAGCTGCAAGGCTCGAAGGCGGAACGAAGATCGGGGCAAAGGAGGGAGGCGGAGGAGCGGAGGCGCAGCCACGCAGACCTGGCGGAGGCCACCGATCGAACCGACCAACAGCGTGCTGCCGTCGGCGTTGATGGCGACTTCGACTGGTCCGTTGAGCTCCGCCGCGTCACCCACGCTGTCAGCGCTGCCCTCCTTGCCACTGCCCGCGATCGTCGTCACCTCTCCTGTCGCCACCTCCACCCGCCGGATCTTGTGGTTCTCGCTGTCCGCCACAAACAGCGCGCCGCCGTCTGGGCTGATGGCGAGTCCGTAAAGGTAGAAGATCTGTGCCGCGTCGCCCACGCCATCCGCGTCGTCCTCGTCGCCGCTTCCAGCGACCGTCGTCACAGCGCCCGTCGCCACCTCCACCCGCCGGATCTTGTGGTTCTCATGGTCCACCACAAACAGCGCGCCGCCGTCGCGGCTGATGGCGATGCCACGCGGGTCGTAGAACTGCGCCGCGTCGCCCACGCCGTCCGCGTCGCCACCCCAGCCGCTGCCCGCGATCGTGGTCACCTCGCCAGTCGCCAACTCAACCCGCTGGATCTTGTGGTTGCCACTGACTGCCACAAAGAGCGCGCTGCCGTCCGGGCTAACGGTGATGCCGCCTGGGTAGAAGAACTGCGCCGCGTCACCAACGCCATCGGCGCTGCCCGCTGCGCCGCTGCCCGCGACCATGGTCACCTCGTCAGTCGCCACCTCGACCCGCCGGATCTTGTTGTTGCTCCAGTCCGCCACAAACAGCGCGCCCCCGTTGGGGCTGGCAGCAACGGTGTAGTAGACGTTGCTTGCCGGCAAGGCTGCCACGCGGCGTACGCGCCCGGCCGCCGAGACGTGCAGCAGCGAGTCCTTCGTCGCGACGTACGCCACGTACCAGGCGCCCGCGTGGTCGCGTGCGACGCCAACCTCACCGAGCGATGCCAGAGGGCCGTCCTCGCCCTCGAGCGCCAGCGTGGTGACCTGTCCGACGACGCGCGCGCCAAAGCGGATGGGCGTCTGAAGCCATCCGCGACCGGAAAGGGCTCCTCGTCCTCCTCACCGCCGCCGCCGGTGCGCCTCGGTGCGGGCGCGCTTGCGGGCGGCGAACGCCATGTCGGGTCCATGTGCATGAACATTTGAGCTATTTTTGGCGCGAGGGCTGGATTCGGGTCCAGGGCTGGGTGGGATATCACGCATGGATGGCGTTCGTGGCACACGCACGCTCTCTCGAGGTCCCCCCATGCTCCACGTACCCCTCTCGCCCGTGTCCATGTCTCTCATCCGCGCGGACGCCCTCTCCCTCTCCCCGATCATCCATCGCGGACTTTCGACCGCGGGTCTCACGGTCACGCGGCGGCGCGCGTGGCGGAGACGAGGATGGCGAGCGAAGGTAGCGCCGCGAGGCACTGCGCGAAGACGAGGACCGCGTTGAAGTAGCGGTCCGATCGGACGACCAGCCACGCGAGCAGCACCTACGGGAGATGGCCCGTGTCGGCCGTGCCCCGACTGCACGGCCAGCGGCGCGAGCGGCACCGAGCCGCCCGAGCACCAGACAGCCGCCTCGGCGAGCCAGCGCCAGCCGGGATGCCGGCTGAGTGGGATGCTCGCGAGGGGCGCCGCCAGGCTGAGCGCGTAGTAGGCCAAGTCAAAGGGGTGGCGGCGCGGCCCGCCGGGCACCGCCGGCGGCCGGCGGCGAGGGATGCGCGGATCGAGGCGGATGTCCACGAGGCGCTGATCCTCCACGCTGAGCATCAGCAGCATGAAGTAGAGAGTGGGGAGGGAGGCGAGCACGCCCGCCTGCCAGCCAAGGTGCGAGATATGGGGAGATATGGGGAGATATGGGGAGATATGGGGAGATACGGGGAGATGGCCCGCCTGCCAGCCAAGGTGCGGCCACGCGACGAGGGCGCGGCCGAGGATGAGGTAGGCTGCCAGCACAAGTACCTACTACCACACCTCCAGAGTACCGAATCCAGTGTGGGTTCAGTCGCGTGGGTGGTGTGGTAGGCTGGGAGCACAAGCACCGTCACCGGCGCGGAGTACATCGCGCTCATCAGCCGCGGCTGCGGGTCGCCCGGCCGCCAAAACGCGAGGTACCCAAAGTGGCGAGAAGATCGCCAGTCGGTGTACGACGAGACGAGACAGACGAGCGCCCAGCCGAAGAGTAGCGAGCGGAGCCACGAGACGCCCGTGTGCCACAGCCCAAAGGCGGCGCTGCTCAGCTCGAGGCCAGTCACCTGCCGGCGAAAGAGAGCCGAGAGATAGCCGAGAGAGAGAGAGCCGAGACCGGTGGCCTAGGGGTCTGTCTCTTCTGGGGTCGCGCCACCGTCTGTCGGTACAACAGGCTGCCCCGCTCGTCGCTGTGGCCGAGCACGAACTTGGGCAGCGTGCAGAGCGACACCGCCACGCCGAGGCCGAGAGGAAGCGGCAGCGAGAGCGGCGGCGGCGGCGGCGGCGGGAGAGGCGCCGCAGACGCCTCGCTCTCGCCGGCGAAGGCTCCGGCCGGGTCGTGTGCGCAAGTGAGCTGCGCCTCCCCCCCCCCCTCGGGGCTCGGGGAGGAGAGCATCGCGTAGGCGA